ATATATATATATATCTTTGAATTGTATGGTATGTGAACGACATGCCAATGAAACTTTTTAAAAGGAGAGATGGAAGCAGGAAGTGGTGGTCCACTGAGGGGATTGCAGTAGATGATCTGAAACAAAAGATCTATGAATTGTTGAATGGAAATCCATTATCTGCTCTGACATCTCCACCTGATTCACAAAAAAAAGGTAAATAAAACAACCTAAATGCCCATTGGTGGAAGAATAGAGAAGTCAGCATTGGTATACACACACACACACACACACACACACAAGGACTATGCATCAACTAAAGAACAAGGATGAAACATTGTGCTGAGTGAAGACAGTAAATCAAGGACAGATACTGTCTTAGACCACTGTTATCACAAAAAAATCAGTAAAAGGTTTTCATACCAAAAGAAATAGGCGTTGGTGGTTAGCAGGATGGGAGGGAAATGCCAGGGGATAGGTAGGTGTTCACTTTGGCGATGGGGGAGATACTATTCTATGTCTCTGTATATACAGAGAGAGGGAGGAGAGTGCCCTCGTGGTGGTGTGGTTAGCTGTTGGGCTGCGAGCAGCCAGGTCGGCCCTTAAGCCTTGCACTGTGGAAGGAGGATGTGAATCTCTACTTTCACCAAGTCTCAGTAAGCCTATACAGTCCTTGTGGTCAGGATCAATCCACTTGGTGGAGTAGCGTGTGTGTGTGTAATGTGATATGGGTGTCATATATATATATATATGTCATAATAAATCCCATGAGTATGTCACAAAGAACATGTGCACATGTAATAAGTAATCTATTGTTTTGGCCTGTTTTGATACGTGTAATTCATGACAGTTTGTTTCTTCTGTGATTCTAGGTGCCTTATTTGATGAACTTGAAGATATCCTGAGTAGAAGTCCATCCTCTTCACGGAACTCCAAAGGAATCTATGGGGCACACACACAGAACCCACACGGTCTACTGACCCCCTGGTAGTCGGTACCATGGTTAATGCATTCTGCTGCTAACCTGAAGGTAGAAGGCTCAAGTCCGTTCAGAGGTACCTCAGAAGAAAAGCCTGGCAATCCCCTCTCAAGAAAGCAGCCAGGGAAAACCCAGAGGAGCACAGTTCCACTCTGCCCCCCGGGGGTGGGGGTGGGGGCATGAGTTAGCACAGACACTGAGTTATGCATCTGCAGCCCTCAACAAGCTTTAGCTTACACCCCTTCCCACCAACAGGTGGCAGTCACAGTCACAGCATCAGTGAGGACCACGCTGGTGGATAAGCACCGCCTTGCCTCCTCCCTCTATGAAGGGCTGGAAACACAATCAGGTTTCCTGGGGGAGAGAAATTCATGAGACTGGTGAAA